ATCTGTGCAGAGAAAGAGTTCTCAAAGGGAGAGTTTTACAAGAAGTGATAAATTGTGGGTGGCACATCGTGTGTGAATCTTACAGTTTTCATTCGTACATGTTTTGGTATACTGAATTTTTTATGCATGGGAATAGAATTTTATAACAAAAAATTATTTTTCTAAGAGACTTGAGAAATTTAAAAAATATATGTCTATAAAAACAAGATATAAAACTCAGGAAACTTACTAACATGCAATAACATGAAATATTTGTTCTAATTTCCCTTAGATTTACAACTAAGTTCACAATTCTAGCACACCAATGACTTCTAACAAAGTCTAACACATCAGGATTTGGACTATCATTGACAAGCCTAATTTTTATAGAAGATCCATAAGTTTGGAACTAGTTTCTATGTTGTGTTTAATTATGAATGTATCTTATTATCCTATTTTCTTGTTAGTTGATATTTTGGAAACAGTTTTAAATAGAAAACTTCATGAGGATTTTTGAAATTTTGCTTTCTCTTTTAGTAATATCATATCTTAAATGAACAAGTAGTCTCTGTGCTAAAATAATGAAGCTTGGCTATTTGTTCAAAATGCACACATGCTTACTCGGCTGTACCAAAGTAGAAAAAGTCATGAAGCTTCCATGAAGGAGTTGGTTATTAAATATTCAAGCTCAGTTTACCAAGACCTTTATTGTATTATCAGAACTCTTCTGTAATGAAGAGCTACTTGTAACATCAAAGCACAGGAGACATTATCTCTTCCCCTCATAGCCCATGACCTAAAAGCTTTTCTTTTTATCTTTATATGAAAGAAAAACATACTATTCAAAAAAGTTTCAGCTTTTTTGAATGCTGTGTACATCATGTAAAGTAGATGCTAGATGTGGTCTGTGATTTTTGCCTTTAAGTGTTTTTGTTTATTCAACATTGCGCTTTTTATTATTTCTGAAGAGGAAAAAAGAGAACTAATTAAACTAATTATAAGAAAGTAAACAATTTTTTTTAAAAAGATTTATTTTATTTGTACATACAGAACTGGGGTACAGGCCAGAGGCTCAGGGGCAGTGAGAGGCTTCACCAGACAGAGTGGGGAACAGAACAGGCAGATCGGCGAAGTACACTGCTGAGGGGAGCAGCGGGCGGGTCAGGAGAGGTCTGCCACGCCATGTGGTCACCTTGGGGCAGGCGGGAATCGAACCCATGCAGAAGTGGCTTCAGCTTCTCAATGCAGTGCTTTGATCCACTGCACCACCAGGGAGGGCCAGAAAGTAAACAAATTTTAACTAGTATTTTTTTTCAAATAATATGTGAAGATTCAAAAATGTGGCACTAGTATTTATTGCCATTTTTAGAATATTCCTTTATAAGTAAAGGAAGCAGAGTTTTAAGAATGCAGACTTTACACAAACATGTCCATAAATGAGTAGATAACCAAAACCAGCTATACATTCTTAACTAGAAGTTTCTGAAAATTGAAGGGGACTATCCATGTGTCTGCCTTTCTTTCATTTTCTGTCAACGACAGAGTGTTAGTGGCAATCAATCAAACCAAATTTGGATACAATTATCAATTGCATACAGAAAAGACTATAAAATTATGTAAAAGTTTGTATCTCAGGCCCTCCCTGGTGGCGCAGGGGTTAAAGCACAGCACTAAAAAGCTAAAGCCACTTCCCAACAAGTTCGTTTCCCACCTGCTGCAGAGGTGATACTTATGGCTGGGCAGACCTCTCCTGACCCGCCCGCTGCTCCTCTCAGCCATATACTTCATGTATCTGCCTGTTTGCTCCCCACTCTGTTTTGGTGAAGCCTCTCACCACCCCTGCGCCTCTAGCCTGTACCCCAGTTCTGTATGCACAAATAAACAAATCTTAAAAAAAAAAGTTTGTATCTCATTTGATTTTAATTTTATTTTACAATGGATATTTTGTTTAATAATGTTCGTTTTTGTTCATGGAAAAATCAAAGTAAGAAATTTGGTTTTTAAAATTACTATTAAATCTATTTTTAATAGTAATTTCAAGTGATTTTTAGGAGTCTTGGACTTATGTAAATACTTTTTTCTATGTGAAAAATTCCAAATTCTAATACTTGATCTACTAAGAGTATGGGATTGAGATGAAAAGGAGTTGAGCAAAGCGATATCTTTTAGATGAAAAGGAGTTGAGAAAGGGATATTTTTGTTGCTTAAAGAAGAAAAGTGAAATAATTCAGATTCTTGGAATGGTATCCTTTTACTTATTAAGTGTTGATTGAGTTAGAGAGGTGAGTGAAATGCTCTGGAATGTTCTAAAATATCCTATGTTGTTCTGACGTCAAGTTAGATCATGTTAGAGTGAGCAAGTAGTAGTGCCGGGGAAGACGGCCTAAAGTTGCTTGATTGGTTCTGGGAAAAATTTGGATTACTGACCTATGACATGCAGGGTCTCCAGAAGACACAGCCAAGAAGAGGAATCAAGTTTCTGCTAATTTCCTAAGCTACCCATGTTTAATCCACCTTCATTCTTACATTGATTAAATTAAAATTATTCATTTGGTGACCCACCATATACTAGACATTATATTGTGTACAATAAAGCAAGACTAAGTTCCCTATATTAAAAATGCACAACTTTAGCTTAGGTTCTAATAATGAAACCTCAGATCTTTAAGCATATGTACCTAACAGTACAAAACACATCTCTCCCGAGGAATCTTTGCTTTCAAATTGCATGGCTACCCCTATTTTGTGAGTGCTGAGTAATTCTGCCTGTCTGGGACCTATGCGGTGGGTGTTTTGCTCAAAGTCTTGGTGGTCTCAAATAATGTGTGAGTTCAAGTTCATTTGCTTTCAAAATAAAGAGGTTTGACTAAAAAAACACTAAACTTAGCTTCAATGCTTATAGCCTCTCACCTAGTATAATAAAACTGGAGAAAAACTTAATTTTGCATGAAGAGAAACAGAAAAATAACTTACCTCATGATTTTGTCTCAAAGTGATGATAAACACAGATTTTTTAATCTTGATAACCTTTGAGTTCCCTGTCCCTCTTTTTAAATGTTTATGTATATGCACGTTGTGATGTTATACCTCCCCTTATGTTGTGTATTCACAAGTTTCACTCCAGTCTTAACGCAGTTTGTATGAGTCATGAGCAGAGAGAGGTGATGAGAAAAATATATGTTAAAAAAAAATTGGGAGGTAGAATGTTGTTGATGCTGTTTTTCTAAGGAAGCACAACCAAATGTATATTTTGGGGACAGGAAGACTTCTGCCCAACTGCAAAGCTGTAGTGTGTAGGCTGTGTGTGTGAATGTTTGCTGTAATGAGAGTGCCTCTGCTTTCTAAGTGATTAGTATAGTATAGTAGTGGAAGATTGCTCATGCTATTTTTGTGGTGAGTGGCTTTAGTAAGGACAGTATAGATCCCTCTTTTCTTACCTCACTTTCCTACTATGCTGCTCTCACCAAATAATATGTTAAGGAAAGTAGACAAGATACTGTAAATACTGTGTGCCACTGAATTAACTTTGCATGGAAATGTTGTAGAATATAAAGAAATATCAGTGAAGGAATTGTAAAACTAAGGCACTTTTCATCACTTCTTGGCCTTTTGCCTAAAATAAATTGCACTATCTAAGATACTTTTTGAATATGGCTTAGGCTACTTAGGTTTAAGCATAGTATATATATTATCATAGTTATAATTTCTTATGCATATGTAGTTTATATATGGCATAAAAAAGATATTGTACACTTTGAGGAGTCAATGGCCACTGGATTACCAATTCCCCTGATGTTCTATAAATACTTCTATTATTTTATTTTTATATATTTTATGAAGTGTGTATTATATATATTAGAATATATATGTTTCACTCATTTATAGTGATTGCACACCAGGAGACTCATTCAGTGGCTTTATATAGCAAAGAGACTCTTACATTATAAAAGGCTAGATATACTTTTAATTTTCTTCATTGTGCTACGCTGTCAAACTCATAAGTTGCTTGAACACTACAGAGGTTGTTAGCTGCCAGACATTTTGGATGTTATTTGCTAGACTGATGTATAGCCAGTGCTAAACAGCAGTGATATATATTGTGGACCCCACAATACTTTAATAGGACTTAAGTGAAATCTATTTTAATCTAGATAACAATTCAGGGTTTTTTTGTTGGTAGCTCAGTGTTGTTTTTGCAGACATTACAGTGTGTTTTTTGCTGAATGTTAGTGCTTATAAGGAAGTGTTTCTCATTGATAAGTCAGAACATTTAAAAAGAAATCATTTAATTCTGAGTATGTTCCCTGTTGCCTTTTCCTTGGTTTTTTTAAATGAAGTTTTTGTACAAGTCTATTTATTCCTGTGGAATTTGCATTTTGTCTATGTATGGTTACGAAAAATAAACTCATTAAGTTATCAAATATAAGTTTTCTAGGGGTGAAAGAATTTTAAAAGAAATGTACAATAAATTTTATCAATAGAGACATTTTGTAGATTTAAGAAAGCTTATAGTTTATTTTTATGATTTTATTTCATTCTAAGTTTCCATATTGTGAAGAAGCCCATTGTGTTATAAAATTACTTAACTAACGCATATTTTAATTATATAAGCTTATGTAATCTGCTAAACCTTCAAATATACAACTTAGTATCTTAGCATCTGACATATTAAGCTTAGTCTGTGAAGTGCTTGTGTATACTGGAACAAAGTTAAAAGAACTGAATCACTTTGTGTGCATGGACAAGTGATGCTGTATTTCTTTTCCCTAATCTTACATTAGTCAGATTTCAAGACTGTGAGAACAACTTGAGGAACTACTTCGTTGCAGTAAATTGTAATATAATTTTTTAAATGAATGCTATTTTTGCATCAAATATTCAAGGGTAGCTAAATTATATATGGTGACTTACTGTCTTATTCTTCTTGAAAAAATCTTTGTTTAAGTTTCACTGGTATGCCAGTATTCGGTTAGTTACACTTCTTTTTTTTTTCCACAGGTAAACCAGATGGAACACCAGAGAGAGAGAGCTCATTAGAGAGACTAGTGGGTGCCATTCCCCAAGCTGGATGACAGAACAAGTCATGGTATGTATTGTAATCTTAGTGCTACTGTACATCTTCAAGCTATCTGCAGTAAGTTGCTTACTAAGAACTGCATCTGGGCTGTCAGAAAACTTCATGGGTTGGTAATTAAATAAAAGCATTGCTATGGTTTTGTGCAGCCAAGCCAATATTGAATGCATTTGAGAAATCTCTTCTAGAAAATTTCTACTTTGGACCCTCAGTTTTGGAAGAATTACTATTTGTATGTAGCAATTAATCTTTCTCTAATAGAACTCTTTCTAAGTGTTCACTGAAAACATTCACCTCTGTTTCCTTTCATTAAGTCATTGCCCAGTTCACCTAACAGAGAACTCAGTTGACAGTTTTCCATATCTTAAGCTGTATATTCAGTTACTATTTTTAAAAGACAGCAAAACATTTTGAACAGTAAGAAGGGGTGAAAACAGAAGGATAGGAAGAAGTGTATGATTGTCATTTTTAATTTTTCCTGTAAATTTAAGGGCTCCAGTTTATTGCACACATATCTCAGTAGGAAATGGATAATTTTCCCACTTAATGCTTATTTGCAATTAATGGTTTTATGGCTAAAAGCTGTGTCAATGATAAAAAGCATATTATGCTATTGAACAGTACCAGACTTGACAAACTTTAACCCAAAGACTGAAGGTTTTACCTGTTTTTGCAAGTAAAGTTTTCTGTATTTTAGACCACTTGTTTATGTATTGTTTATAGATGTTTTCTTATACAGTAGCAGAGCTGAGTAGTTGTAAGAGAATATAAAGCCCAACCAAACTAAATTATTTACTGGTTGGCTCTTTATATAAAAAAAAAATATTGGACTATGTACTAACACATAAATTTGTAGATTTGGAAAGGAAAATGCAATTTTATAGTTTGCTTGTTCTTGTATTATGAATAGTGAGAATAAAATTTTTTTTCAGATTTTAATTTTCTTTTGTAAGGAAGAATATTTATATCGGTAGTTTAAAGTTTTTAAAATAGTGTAACATATTTCCTGTAGTGTGAGCTCCTTCTTGGATGCAAATCTGTGACAGTTCAAGTTGATAGTTACCAAGTTAGGTCTTTTCAAAGTTAAAGTAAGTTCTAAACCAAGCTGTGAAAGTGGCATAGCTAGGAAACAATAAATTTTGGGTAAGTCAGCAAAAGATTTCTACCCATGCAGGTACTATGTACCCCAAAACTTCAGGAATTGGCATTAGTCTGCAGTCCACACCAGTTTGTTTTTGGCAAGGTCCCCGAACCCTTAAATGTGTCATGATGACTGTGACTGTTCTCTAAGATACTCAGATATTCACCATTGCTGACTCAAATAAAAAAATCTAAAGTCTCACTTAAAAAAAAAAAAAAAGGGAAAATAAATTTTCTAGGCAATAAAGAGTTTATGTGCTAAGTTATTTTTTGTATATTTGTCTGTTTTTTTTTTAATATTTACATGTGTAGTTTGTACACACATTCATGAATAAAGAAAGTCGGTAGGATCTTGAGGTAATGTACTACTTTCCAAAATATACCTTTTCTATAAACCATCTCACAGAAGGATAATAGATAATGATTCAATGGTTAACATTACTATTTTCAAAAATTGGAAAGGAATCATCACTCAGAGCCTGTTTGCTACTTTCCTATATGACATCTTATTTAGAGCTCTGAATCTCAACTAAGCAGTTCTGCGAATTTGAATCCAACAGAAAAGATGTAGCTTTCACACAATTTTCTTCAGTTATAAGAACTATAATTGTTGCAAAGAGAAGCTTTAAGCCTGGGTCACTAAAATCATCTCTACAGGCAGCAGGTTCTCTTCACGGTCAGGCAAGATTGGGAAGACTCCAGTTCATTACATCTCAATGTCACCCACATATTCTTAGTACAGGTCAGCTTATTCGGAAATAAGTTATAGAGAGGAATATGAAAATATTGAAACTTCACATATGTGCTAAATTATAGATATAAAGAAAAATATTTTCAAAGTCTAAGCCATTTTGATTAGAAATATTTATATAATATTTCCATTTTAATATTGAGAGTAATTGAATGAAAATGTAAATTAAATATGTATTTATGTTTAATATAATTGTCAGAAAAAATTACTCACTTTATTTTGAACTAATCCAAATAAGGGGATTTTCATATTTAATATTTTTTTAATTATAATAGTTTATTTTTACATACGTTTGTGCATTTTTCCATCTCAGTTGCAATCCCCCTGGGTTTCCCATCACCAAATCACCCATGTGCCATCACCATAGTCCAGTGCATTTCCCTCCCACCCCAGATTTAATATATTCTAATAATAATTTACATCAAATATAAGGGGGCAATAACTTTTATTTGTTTCTGTTGGTTCAGCTACAGGATTCCTATAGTCTTGAATCCCAGTGATATGTAATAGAGTTTTGAGCATATTGAACAGAGATCCAATTTTGTGACATGGGTACAAATATAACTTGGTGACATTTTATTAAATATACACATGAAAAGTTTATTAAAATTCATATTTCCAAAATCCAATAAAATCTGGAGGATTTGCTAGTGTTCTGTCTTACATTTTTTTGAATAATACTCAAATTCTTGTATTTGGTAATGTGTCTTTTTTCTCCTCACCTACTTAGGCTTTGTTACTTAAGTTTCAAATATTGTCTCTTTAATGTTTGACATAAATTGCAGTTTTTGCAATAGTAGAGGGAGGTGAACTTCACATTTCAAACAAGGCAGCTTTTTTTGAGGGTCCATTGTGAACAACATGCTACATTCTTTTTGGACAATCCACCCTTTAAATATCTGTCCAAAAGTTTCTGGTATTCTCTGGAAAGCTACTGCTAACAGCCATTCCTGAATAATGAATTATCCTATTCTTCATGAAAAACTGATGGTTTGCTAATTTAACTTTCTTTGAACTCTTCTGATTACTAAAAATGCCAGAATAGAGAGGAAAATCTAGAATCCTGGACTTCTGACCTCTATTCTGATTTATTTTCCAGTTCTTTTCACTGGTATGTTGAGTTCCAGGGATTTGGAGGCTGATCAAAGAAACAGATATGACCAATTTATGGCAGTAACACACAGAATTATCTTTGTGTGGCTTTTGGAAAATGTGCACATGGGAGTAATCTCTCATAATAGGCTATCTTCCAGAGGCAGTGCAAGGGAGGCTCCCATCCAGAACAGGGGTCAATAAGGACAAGTCCTGAGAAAGAAGAGCATCAGGAAAGGGTTATATGTCTAGATGATGTTGCTTAGTGTACAAAATCAAGTCTCTAGACCAGAGAGCGCTGAAGGTCAGCACAGTGTAGGGTCTTTTATGGCTAAGAGTTTATCATTCTATGGTTAACAGTTGCATTGAATGTGTGACCCAAGAAATTTCTCTAAATGGCTAAAAATCTGCTCACTTATATTACATTTGAAACAACTGGTGTAAAAAATCCTGGGCTTTTTGGTGCCAGTAGGCTTCAGAGCTAATGAACCCCAGCCTACAATGAAGAAAAATACAGGGCCAAGAAGCTACCATTGACTCATTGATAAAACAAGTAGGCAACTGGGCCAGAGTTGTTTTGTATGTGTGCCTACTTCTTGTCATTATAATACCCATCAAATATACATAAAAGTATGCACATATACACCATCTGAATTTTTCACTTATCATTTTGTTGTAATCACTCCAGGTGTTTAAAGGAATAAGGAATATAACACATGTAATTCCTCTGTATATAATACTCCCGTAGGGAAGTTATTTCCCTCCTTGGCTTCTTTGGGCCTCTCCTATGCATGTTCACATTCACTACTATATATAT